AGAGAAACATAATATAATGCTATTTGATGAGTGTCAGCTTGTACAGTAAATGATATGTTTTTAAGACTTAGTTTCTGTAACTGAAGATTTGTGATTTTACGAGGTCTCCACATTTGAATTAAAGAAAAAAAATATGAATTTTTGTTCACATTTGAGTGAAAAGAACAGGATGGTATCTTTGCATAACCATGTAAAAGAATTGTTCTATTTTTGATAAAATGTGGTTTCAGTTACATACTAGTTTGGTAATTTTACTTATGTATTTGTTTTAGCAGAACTAATGTTACAATTTTTATATTCAGTACTTTTAGTAAAAAAAAAGGAAATGAAAGTCTATGTACAGTTAAAATTGAATTATTTGTATAATAACTGTTTATGAAATTAAATAGCATATATTGTTAAGTTTCGTGTAATAAATGGATTACTAGTGAGTTCAGTGACATACATCTAATATATACTCCCTCTGTTTTATAATAAGTGTTATTTTGACTTTTTTTGTTGTAAAAAATGTTACTTAACAATTTTTAATGCAAATTATACTTACTTTCGGCTGAGAATTAATTGAAAACTGCATTGATTTTATAAATAATTTTATTTGTCTGAAATATTATTGGTCGGTATAATTAATAACATCTTACATATATTTCTGCTATTTTTTTAATATGTGTAAAAAGTATCAAAATGACACTTGAGGGAGTATTGTTTTTTAAGTCCCTCTCTAAATCCAAACTTTATTGTACTAATAATTTGTTGTTTTCTTCTAAAAGTAAAATAGTTTGTCTTGGGGTAAACATTAATAATATCTAATGGCGATTGAATTATTTTATTGAGTTCATTGGCAAACGAGTCGCTATGAAATCTATTCTCTCTTTTACACATGGTTCTCTTTAGAAATTTAAGTGTGAAAAACCGAGTCGGTTGCCTCTATCCTTGTAACCGGTTAAACAATGAATGGTAGAAATATGTTGTGTTAAAAAAAACGATTAGGCATTAGGGTTCATCTGTTTCTCTCTTTCTTTCCTTGAAATAATTCGAATTTCTTGGAATCCTAAAGAGATCTTACATCAATTAATCTGCTTTTATATTTTTCCTTTTAAAAATACCGTTTCTTTGTTATTTTTTGTTTTGATTTTGTAATCGACAGGTTCCAAGACCGACATGAACTGGCTTTACTCGTGTTATGTGGAAATTCAACAGATGCCTTGTTATTCATCTTAGTCTCTATGGATGCCATCCATTTTTTCCCCTTTTCTTAATGAATCTATCGTGTAATAAAAGTTTCTTCTGTTGTCTCTTAGTTTTGTAATTTAATTAAATAAATAAATGAAGTCAAAAGCTCTTCTAAAACGAAGAGATTTAGTTTTGTAGTATAAGTTTAGTGATTTAGATGTGAAATAAGTAATCCTTTTACAATAATTTTTGTGTCTAGGGATCATCAAGCTAGTTCGTGTGCAGACGGATGAATTTTATTGGAATTAGAAAACTAATCGAAGTCTATTAGTTGCGTTGAACACTTTCCAGTTAATACATTAAATTAATGTTCTACAAGATTAACTTACTGATTAAGTAGATCTTTGGCTTGAGCTATCACTAAAATGAGAGTACCATTTGTTAAGTACGGTGTACCTGTTGTCGATATTTTATACCCTTTGTTTGTTTTATCAACAAGTCGAGCCATGGCATCAGTGATGTCTTGATTAGTCCATCTCAGCTAGTTCAACTTATTGATTTATAGTTAACCTTATTTCAAAACTGATTCAAACTTCTCTAATTCGCTGGTGAACGATACCCATTATTGATATATCAAGCACCTCTCTATGATACGTTTTACATCAAATGATACGCCATATTTTAACAAAGATAATTAGAAACTAATACGGATAACAATTTCTGAAAAAGCTGATAATACAAATTCTAAACCTTAATACAATCTGGTGTAAAATTAATGAATCTCATTTCTAACTATAAAACTTTAATACTGTAAGCCACACTTTAAAACTAATTACGAATTTTCTTCAAAATAAGTAAATTAATTAGGTCAAATGTATACCAACCTACATAACCATATAAAATAACAAGATAAAAATTGAAAAAAAAAATCTTACGAACAAGATGGCTCACATATATCTTCTAATGAACATCGGCTATGCAAATTGGTACTATAAGATTAGTTTTGGTCACAAAGGAATTAATACAACGCTTAGTGATTTAATTTTATACGGAATTCAGAATTCGAACTTGGTAAAACAAAAAAAAAATGGAAGAGCATAACACAGCTGGGTTGGTCAGAAAATCTATTCTTGTCGATTCCTGCTCTCCGGAACACAAACCTTAATTAACAACTCGAAGCAAGATCTTAATATAACCGATAGTGAAGACAAAAATCTTTTTTCTTTTGTAAATCCAAATTCTGCCACTAGATCTAACCTTGTAAACATCAAGTGAAAGTTTACAAGTATTGAATATTCAGTCAATATTTCTAGGACAAAAACCTATACATATTCCAAAATGAAATTCGACATAGACAAACTGAAGAATTTTTACTAACTAACTTTCTGTTGTAACATATACTTCCTTCAATTTTATTATTAAAAAAGTTATTATTTTACATTTTTAATTATCAGATCATTTTTTTCTTTTTTACTATTTTAACCAAGAATATATCATCTATAATTCAAAAAAAATTAATCGATAATAAAAATATACAATTGGGTAGTTATAGTTAATTTTGGTTGAAGAGATAGTAAACAAAACTACAATTTAAAACTGATTAAAAATGATCTTGAACCTTATACTAGAAAATATTCATCATAACGAGAGAATAAGATTATTTATATTAACAATCGACTAATGCAATATAATAAAGCCACTTGGCGACAAGACCGACCACTGTAGCCACTGAGTAGAAGACGCATGTTTGGTTAATTCTTGAATTCTGAACTCAAAAGCGTTTGTATTTGAGACTTACCATATGGATCTTTTCAAACTCACTCCACACATTTTCCTATTGGCTACCATGTGGATTATTAATAAACCTTACTTTTACCGACTCTTTTTTTCTTGTCTACTACTACTACTTCAATATTATATTCAGGAGACCCTACCTTTTCCATTCGAAGCTTCCCACATATCATCGCCGTCTCCGGTGACTACCATGGTTACCTCCAAGACCGATCCTAAGGCATGTCTAGTGAAACATTCGTTTTAGATCCCTAAAAGTTTTGAAAAAAATTACATGAGTATAAACCTCAAAAAAAACTTTTACGCCCCCAAAATTCTTTTTTTACATAGAAGTCCTCCTAGACTTCTAAAATCTCAAGACCGGCCCTAGTTACCTCATGGCTATTCGACTTCCCTGAACTCTCAACTCCCCAAAACCATATAATATAGGTGAAGTTTGTCAATCTTGCATGATCCTAAAGTTTTGCATCCATCTTTCCAGTGTAGTCTATGAGGTTTCTCTGCTTCTTTAAAAATATAGTAGGGTAAACGAACTCATGCTAAGCTTACAAAAATGAAACTTAAAATCAATACCAATGACAACCAGACGTAAAGTAGCCCAAGTTAATTTTGTAATTTGTCGGATATGGTGTTTAAGCTTTTACTCTTGGCCCAAAATAATGTAGCCCAAATTTTTCTTAGGTATATGTTGGGTTGTTCTTAATCTTTGATCAACGTGGCAAGTCATCTAATCCTTATTTGTGTAAGAATATTTAAGAATACAATCAAAGAACTATTTTGGTTGATTCAACATTAGATCGTCGTTTAGATTTTGTCAATTCAAGGTTCAGTTAAATATTTATATTTAGGTACTTGTTGAAGAATTTCCACGATTTCCAAGTCTTCGGATCTCAAAAAACTTTGTGCTAATTGTGAGGAATTTTTATACAATAAATTAGTAACGTTCTGAGATTAATATCGATTTGATTAGGCCACACGCAACATTGTTAAAAATCAATTTCAGAAAGAGCTGTCAGGTTTCATCGCACGTAAACATTGACAGACCAACCGACGATGTGATTTTGCACATTTAATTTACATAATTATGTGTACTCTTCAACATATATATATGAGTTAAATATCAATTTAAGGATTAATTACTCCTAAGTAACTACCAACGTTACGTTATCTATGAATACCCTATGAGTCAATAATATATTTTAGTGCTATTGAAGACATTTTATTTTCAGTTTCTATTCAGAATTTCAATGCTGAAATTTGTCAGTACTTACCCTAGTTAAAAATTCCATCTATGATCATTACGTTTTAATCTTGAGTCAGATTAAATCACTCATAACATTTGACCATTTCCTTTACCTTCATGGCTTAATAATATTCACTGTTAAAAAACAAAATTGATCATTTACTATAATTGTGACTACCATTAAGTGTTTAGAGATTTTATTCTATTTTTTGAAAATTTATTTCCTTAAAAATGCGTGGTCCCAAACTATTATATTGATTTCACATTTCACGTTTTTTCCTTGAGATATTATTAATGAATGATGTAAACTCAATTTTATGTTTTATAATAATTTTAAAATAGAAAATTTTGATAAAATTATATTTTTGTGTTCTTTTGAATAACAGCAGATTGAAGTGGACTCATTGGATTAGATTTCTCTTTAAAGTTAAAGATTTACTTACTATAGAGTAATTTTAATTATCTTTATTAAGATGGTTTTAATTGCCCCGCGTCTAAAGATCAACGTCTACGACTCAGTTTCTTCCTACACAAGCGAGCCAGAGAGAGACAGAGAGAGAGAGAGAGAACAAGGAGCGTGTTGTGTACTGTCTCTTCGGCGTTTTCATCGTTTCTCATCTACCACACACAAAAACATTTCTCATCACTTCTTTACACAGATTTCTCTCCTGGGTTTTGGATGTAACGAATCTGTTCTATTTTTTTTTTTTCTTTCCAGATTCTTGATATATGATTCTTCTTCTTGATAGTTTCTATGAAAGATCTCTCTCCAATCTCTTGTTTAAGTTTACCAGATATGTTTGAGAGATCAAACACACGGTATCACCGAATGTTCATCACCAGAATATCAATCATCTTCTTGTTAATATCGTTCCTCTCCGTCCTCTCTTGGTTCTTGATCCTCTCTTCCACAAACCCTAACCGAGTTCTTGATAACATCTCAGTCTCAGAACCTACTGATCCTTCCCCTCTCATAATCATAAAAACCTCAAACAATTCTCCTGAAGCTGAATCTCCAAATCCTAAAAACAGAGGAGCAAAAACAGAGGAAGCCAAAGAAACCCTCCAATGCAACCAGAAGGTCTCACCTCCTTCTCCACGGCCATTGAAAGTCTACATGTATGATATGAGTCCAGAGTTTCACTTTGGGTTATTAGGTTGGAAACCTGATAGAAACGGCGGCGTTTGGCCTGACATTAGAGTCAATATTCCTCACCATCCAGGTGGGCTTAACTTGCAACACAGTGTTGAGTATTGGCTGACATTAGATCTCTTGTTCTCTGAGCTTCCAGAAGATTCTAGAACCTCTCGTGCCGCGATACGTGTAAAGAACTATACTGAAGCTGATGTAGTCTTTGTACCATTCTTCTCCTCATTGAGCTATAACAGATTCTCTAAGGTTAACCAAAAAACAAAGAAGAGCCAAGACAAAGAACTACAGGTAACTACTACATCCATAACCAAACCTATGTGTTTATATTTTTTTATTACTCGTCAGGAACCCAAACATTGTAAATAGTCTCTTCCACCAAGAGTTGAACCTGAATGCCTATGTGTATATTTTTCTTATTTCGATTTTATTTTGACAGGACAAGGTGGTGAAGTTTGTGATGGCACAAAAGGAGTGGAAGGTCTCAGGAGGGAAAGATCATGTAATAATGGCGCACCATCCTAATAGCATGTCCACGGCGAGACATAAGCTCTATCCAGCTATGTTTGTGGTAGCTGACTTCGGTAGATACTCGCCACGTGTAGCTAATGTTGATAAAGACATTGTAGCTCCATACAAACACCTTGTTCCATCGTACGTTAACGACACATCAAGCTTTGATTCGCGTCCGGTCTTACTCTACTTCCAAGGAGCTATCTTCCGTAAAGCTGTAAGTTCTTTCTTTCTTGCTTGCTTGCTACACAAGTAATAATTATTCGAAACCCTAGACTAAACCCTAATCTTGTAGGGTGGATTCGTGAGACATGAGTTGTATTACCTTCTGAAAGAAGAAAAAGACGTACACTTCTCCTTTGGAAGTGTGCAAAACCACGGCATAAGCAAAGCTGGAGAAGGCATGAGATCGTCTAAGTTTTGTCTTAACATAGCTGGAGATACACCGTCTTCTAACCGTCTCTTTGACGCTATAGCTAGTCATTGTGTTCCGGTGATTATCAGCGATGACATTGAGTTACCTTACGAGGATGTTCTCAACTACAACGAGTTTTGTATCTTTGTCCGAGCATCAGATGCTTTGAAGAAAGGGTTTTTGTTGGGTCTTGTGAGGAGTATAGGGAGAGAAGAGTGGAATAAGATGTGGAAACGGTTGAAGGAGGTTGAGAGGTACTTTGATTTTCGTTTTCCGGGGAAGGATAATGATGGAGATTATGGTGTTGAGATGATTTGGAAAGCTGTAGCGAGGAAGGCACCGTTGGTTAAGATGAAGGTTCATAGGTTTCAGAGGTTTACAAGGCCTTTTTTTGATTTAGTGTAGAGATATAATGAAATATAGTTTCAGTTTAACCATGTGGAATGTGTCAAACTAGCACCAGTGTAATCATTCTACACATCTTCTCATGTTGTTCACAAAAAAATTACTTTCAGCTAAGCAGCTTGTTCTTGTTTAGATTACATAACAGATTCTCTCATCATTATATATAACATCTCTTTTGATTCCAAATCTACCTTTAGACTGAATCGAGACTTTCTGAAGGAGCTTGGAGAGCCACTTGGCAGATTGTTTCTCGTACCTTTCCAGATTGTGTGCATAGTCTACATATAGTAGAGTGACTAGAGTCCATACCTCGTCTTGTATCTATCTTCCCACTCTAGCCCATCTATAAGGGACCACACAAAGTAACATTAAACATTGGCCTTGTCGTCGCTACAAAAACAACATACAAGCAATGCTTTTGTCCCCCAAACTCATCAAACATTGTTTTCTCAAAGATTTTGCCCTAGTCCATTTTGCAGTCTTTGTTTCACCGGGTTCCCAAATTCCAAATCCATTTTCTCGAGAATAATAAACATAATCAAGTGATGGTAGCCTAGTGATAATTTATTGGGGCTCGGTGTATGTCCACATCAATCATGGGTTTGATTTGCTTTGGGAACTAAATTATCATTATTTGGTCAGTCTAAATTTGGTATCCAAGTGGTTTACATAGTGTATCGTAACAGATGATCAGTTCATCTTCTGACATTAGTCAGAAAGTATTCTAAACTCGGGTCATATAATATGGTAATCAGTGCACTTTGTAGCATTAAGTGCGTTTTTTCGACAGCCTTCGGATAGGATTTATAAAAAAATAAAAAAAATAATAAACATGGATTCGCATGCATAAGGCGGACGAACAAATAAACAAAAGTTCAATACAGCCCAACTCTAGACATATAAGCGAGTTTTATAAATGTAAGCCCATAAATAATAACAATTAAAACTCTTATAAACAGAAAATATTAAAGAGTTACTAGTAAATTAAAAAGATGAAATTCTAGGTCTGTCTATTTTGGTGCATGCAATAAGGAGGGAGACACGAGTGCATTTTCAAAGGGACAAGATATCACACATGGAAGATCACTGCATGGATTGGGCATGCGTGTCTGTCTCCATACTTTAACGTGGAGTCTCCCTAGGTCCCACCATTTTATCCGTTTAGGTCGAAATCGTAGAAAACGACATGCAGTCTGTACTTGTTCACTAAGTAAATATAGACGACGAATATTATTATTTAAACTAGGATGGAATACTAATAGTCAAAATCTACAAGTAATGGTAGTATCCCGATCTACATGGTAAATTATTCACCACTTCAACCAAACTGCTTCACTACGAGATCACTTGGTTTATTATATCTAAATGTTATTATTTGGTTGTGTTAGCACAAAACAAAAGTTATTAGTATATGACAAAAACAGAAGAAGATAATACCTAACGATCGAGCGGTGTCGGCAATAACTATACCTAATGATCGAATGGCCTCAATTGCATCCACCACGAATAACTAATATGATTGGACCCTAAGACCAGGGGGAAGCTGGTTAATTACAAAACCCTTTTTATTTTTGTCAAGATCAGAAAATCTAATTTATTTTCAAAATTGGTTAATGTTGTTCTAATTTCCAAAAAAATAGTATGAACTTTTCAGATTAATGTGAAAAACCTTTTAAAGGGTTATTAGTTTTTGTATTATGTGATAATAACTAATGACTATACATATGTAAGATGTTAATTTCATATTGAAATTAATGGAACTTTTTTAGAGGATTGAGAGGATATGGCATTGCCTTATAATAAATAAGAACTATGTATATGTGGAATGTAGTATTCAATTTTAGAAGAACAAAACAAATTTGTGTATGTCTGATAATACACCGACAGGTTCACAAAGTCGGTTTTCACTCTTATTCTTTTTTGTATACATACAAGTAAGTATATGTAAATAGATACATAAGTCAAGTATACTCGTTTCTATCTCTATATGTCTATGCGTGAAGATATCTAGAAGTTTCAGTTCTATTCTGGCATATTCTCCTAAAAAGAGGAAAAGGTAGGTATCTGTCTTCAGTTTGTTTTAATTTCTTTAGTTTCTGTGGTATTTTTATATGTTGATCATTTCACCGAGCTCTGTCTTCTATGCTCTTCTTGACTTTTCCGTATTCTCTCTTGAACTAAGGTAAGTTCTCGCTCAGTACTTCATAGTATATACAACAGAGTTTTGTGTGTGTATACAATCAATCTTAGAGCAAGAGATGAGTTTGGGGAAACGTTTGTTAGCTCGTTTTATATCATTGAATTTGATTGTGGTTTACCCTCAACATAAACCTGTGCTGTATTTCTTAAACATTTATAATAGATAATTATAGTAATTGTTTTCTTTTGTCCAAAGTAATTGTCTTTATATTGATTATTTCAGATTAAAGATCCAAAGAAGTTAGCAAGAAAAAATGAGCACTCAAGGAGAAATGGAGGAGAGGCTACTACGTGTAGGATCAGACCCTAAGGGTCAGAGCAACAGTATAGAGAGTCTCTACTTAAGAGCAAAGGTTTGGAGCGAAGTAAGGAAGATGTGGAGAATAGCATTACCTTCCTCTTTATTCCGAATGACTTCGTTTGGTAGCATCATTGTGGCTCAAGCCTTCATTGGTCACTCCTCCGAGTTGGGTCTAGCTGCTTACGCTCTCCTTCAAAGCACATTCATTCGCTTTCTTTACGGTTTAACGGTATATAAAACTTACTAGTCTTATTAAAATGGAAGTAGACTTCTTAGTCTTTATGGTGTTAATATATAGGGTGGTATGTCAAGTGCAACGGAGACTTTATGTGGGCAAGCATACGGTGCAGAGCAGTACCACACAATGGGGATATATCTACAACGTTCATGGATTGTGGACATAGCCGTGACAACTTTGTTCCTACCGTTTATCATATTCGCTGGCCCTATTCTCCGTTTACTAGGCCAAAATGTTGCGATAACAAGGACCGTTGATGAGATATATCCTTGGATGATTCCTTATGTCTATAGCTTGATCTTCACTATGACTATGCAAATGTATCTCCAAGCACAAATGAAGAACGCTATTGTAGGCGTTCTCTCGACCTTGTCCTTGGCTCTTGATCTCTTGGTTACGTGGTGGTGTGTGAGTTTTATGGGGATGGGGATTGGTGGTGCGCTTCTCGGGCTTAATGTGAGCTCGTGGGCTTTGGTGTTAGCTGAGTTTGTGTATGTTTTTGGTGGGTGGTGTCCGTTCACTTGGACTGGTTTTAGCACTGCGGCTTTTGTTGACCTTGTTCCTATGCTCAAGCTCTCCATTTCTTCAGGCTTCATGATCTGGTAAGTAGTAAGCTTATGGTGTATATATGTATATGTATTTTTAGATTTAAAAAATAATTTAATTATATATTAATGCTTCTAATAATTTGTTTTGTTTCATTCTTGAACAGCTTAGAGTATTGGTACCTAAGCATCCTTGTCTTAATGGCTGGTTATACAAAAGATGCTAATACAGCAATCTCTGCTTTCTCAATATGGTAAATTTTTTTCCTACCATTTATATCTAAATTTTATTCAAGAAATAAATTTATCTGTAGTAAATAATCTTGAAAATTTGCAGCCAATACATATATACATGGGAACTCAACATATGCCTAGGCTTCTTGGGTGCAGCTTGGTAATGATCACAAGTTTATGAAATGTCTAATCTAAGAATCTTCATATTAATACAAGTAATCTAAATTTTATACGTGCATGTAACTAATGATATTGTAGCGTCCGAGTGGCTAACGAGTTGGGGAAAGGAGATGCAGCTGCAGTGAGATTCTCTATTAGAGTGATACTCACGGTATCAACAATCATGGGAGTTATATTCTCTGTTTTATGTTTAGCATTTTGTGGTCAGATATCGTATTTGTTCACCGATAGCAAAGAGGTTTCGAAAGCAGTGGATGATCTATCGATGATCCTTGCTGTATCAATCTTACTCAACAGCATTCAACCTATACTCTCAGGTCATAATGAATATACTTAGATATAGGTTTGGCTCTGTTTTACATGGTTAGTAACTAACTACTAGATAAAATTTAAAATGTTGGGAAAACAGGTGTAGCCGTAGGAGCAGGGATGCAGAGTATAGTTGCAGTTGTGAACTTAGTTTCATATTATGCAGTTGGTATTCCTTTTGGTCTCATCCTTACTTATGTTTTCCATCTTGGTGTTAAGGTAACTTCTCTTTCTTTCTTAATCTTGCTTAGTAAAAAGAAAGTATATTTAAAGAAAAGTTCATTACATTTCATTGTCTGATATGTAGGGACTATGGTCTGGAATGTTGGCTGGTATTGCGATCCAAACAGCAATACTGTGTTATATCATTTACAGAACTGACTGGGAGTTAGAGGTAAGCAATTACATTTGTTATTCTTCCTTGAAGTGGAGACATATGAGTATGAAAACTCTTTAAATATTATGTTTTTTAGGTTAAAAAGACCAGTGAACGTATAAAAGCGTGGAGCCTGAAGCCATCTCATGAAGACTCGAATCCTATAATAGAAGATGAGAGGAAGTGAGAAGTGATGATATAATACGTTTTCCCCTTTTCAATGTAATATATAAATATTTTTGGGGGCTAATAACGCAACTCTCGTTGCTATATAGCAAAGTTTATGCAGCTCTATATTTTTTTTCTTTTCTATCCAGTAGAAAAAAATAATAATTTGCCAAGCAATTTCAGCAAAAACTGATTATTCATTACACTGAATTTCTCAAATTATTGTATAAACACAAAGAAATTACAGGCAAATTTAAAGTAAATACAAAAGAAGAAAATATTATTTGTTCAAAAGTTTGAAAGGAAGTAAATCTTTAATGCTAAAAACATCCTCCCTCGTCAGCTCATGCTCCAACTGTGCTCTCGTTGCTTTCAGAACGTCCTGCCAAAAATAAACCATTATTAACACATAGCCAAACCGAAAATTCCAAACTATTAACAAGTTTGGCTCAAAGATATATTTATACATTGAATTCCATGTAAGAAGCTCGTTTTGCAAGCCATTGTGAGTCCATCATTTGGAAAGCTACACAGTAAAGATTATCGAACGCCATTTCATCTTTCTCTAGAAACTCCAAGAACCTTATCCCCGCCATCGTTGATGGCTTACCTGTAAAGAAACACAGACACAAATCAACAGTTTGAAATGATCAGCTTGAATAATAGAAGCGATGGCTATTTTTTGTGGAGCATTTTACCTGATTGAAGATCTAACATTTGTGCTAGCATGAATGAGATATTGATGCCAGCAACTGCGAAAGGATATTCCCATTCTGCTCGTGTCCCATCTTGTTTATGTAACAATCTATGGAATGCTTCCTATCATGATGAAAAGACACACTCTTGTTAGAATCATAGCAAATCAGATATACTTCAACTTGTGTGACGTCAGTAACTTTGGCATATGAATATGTGAATGGGAGAAGCATCACAAACCGGATAGGTCTTTGCAAAGTAAATCAGATTCTCCAGTGATATATATCCTCCACCTCTACAAACATATTATGAAACTCATCATCAGTACAAGTGATTAAGAAGATTCAAATGAGTATATGTATACTCTATTGTGTACCGAAAATCTGTTGAAGGGTCTGTTCCTTGCCATCCCATTTCCTTCCAGAGTTCAGATTTAAGAGGTGGTAGTTCTCTTTGTGGATATGCTAACCTCCATAGTTGTCTAAGTGCATCCTGTTAATCATACGATTACATAAATCTAGACAGAACTTTTGATATGTGGAATTAATATTAGCAAACAGAGAGTTCATGAAAACACTTACTTGATGCTCCATTCGAGATCCATCAAAGGGTATTTCTATCCTTCGCTTAATGTTTCTCAGCCTTTCTTCCTAGTAAGAGGTACATCAAATACAGAATGTGATCTCTACGGAGATATGGTACAGGGTAATATTAATTATATATGGTTCAAAGATACCTGCAACATAGTAAGAGGCGGTGGCAAAAGCTTTCCACCAGAACCTTTATGAGGCAGAGAAAGGAACCTCCCAAAAAGCGAGCCGGATCCAAACACAACTTTGGCTGCAAAACCAAGAAACAAGTTGAAATGTACAATCCCTTTTTAAAACAAGCAATGAATAATAGTAAACAAGACAGCGACACAAAACCTATCCACTGAGCCCATTGTGCAATCAACTGAGAAAAGATTAACGTCCAATGAACTTGCTGTCTCTTCCGTTCTTCTTCCCAAATATCCTCCAGACTATGTTCCTAAGAAAAACATCACAAATAATACTAAGAACGCATAAAAGGGCTATTTGGAATGAAAAAAAAAACACTAACCTCATGGTACGCATCTTTACTATCGCTACTACTTCCCAACAAAGGCTCGCTTAAAGTCTCGGAGTCAGTAGCATCATAACGTTCATACTTCCTCCCATCTACATCCCCGTGATGAAGCCGTCTCCTAAGAGTCGCAGATGCCATCTTGTAAAGCAACACACAGAAGCGAATAAGCCCCTGCAATAATATCATAAATCAAAACCAAGCAAACACAACAGCGAAAAAAACAACATGAAATTTTGAGATTGTTTCTTTCTAAAAAAGACATAATGCAGCCGAAAGACAACAAAAAATGCCTTTAAATTTGTTTAAGTCTTTAACAGAACCATGCAAACAGAAATAATTTGGAGAAAACGAACCCTAATAAGCTTTCAAACGGACACAAAAACACGTGAGACTAATTCAACAAGGAGCTTTTCGATCTAGCAAACTACACACACCGATGCAACTGCTCAAAATCACCAACCATTGAATCGTTACCAAAACTCAGAACAATCAAAAACAGAGCTCCATCACAAACCCTAACTTTCAATCACAAAGGAGATGCTGAAAAGACACAGAGATTTGACCTTTTAATCTGAAATCAGAAAGCTTTATCCAAATTTGTAGGAATCTAAGATAAGACCATAAGAAGAAAAATATATGACAAATCTGGAAATTGGGTTTGATAGATTATCTTACAGGAAACGTGATCTCAAGTGAAAGATCACAGCTTCCTTCGTTAGAAAGGTAGGAATAGCTCACGAAAACCCAATGGAACCAGTCTCCGGCAACGGCAGAGGAAATTTCCCAGAAATTCTATTTTTATTTCCAGATTTAAATTCCCCGGTTTAAATTTCCGGTTCAACATTACTATACCAAAATGGGCCAAATAATTATTCACCGGACCCGACCCGAGCCGGCCCAAAGCTATCTTTTATTTATTTTGGTTTTTAATTTCTCCGGTTTAAACATCACTATACCAAAATGGGCCAAATAATTATTCACCGGACCCGACTCGACCCGGCCTAAAGTTAGAATTTATTTATTTTGGTATTTAATTTCTCCGGTTTAAACATCGGTATACTAAAATGGGCCAAATCATTATTTACTCGACCTGACCCGACCCGGCCCAAAGCTAGATTCATCATCTCTTCCACCAGATCTAAATCCCAATCTCTGAATTTTCCTCTTAAAACCCTAAAAAACCTCTCACTCTCTCTCTCCGGTCTGCTCTCTCCGATTCAATCAAATGACGATCCACGCGGCGGTAATCCAGAAACTCCTCAACACAGGCTCCCACCTCGGCCGCCGCGCCGCGGAGCACCATTTCAAGCAATACGCGTACGGAACCCGCAACGGGATGACCATAATCGACTCCGACAAAACCCTAATCTGCCTCCGCAGCGCCGCGAACTTCGTCGCCAACCTCGCCCACATGAAAGGCAACATCTTCTTCGTCAACACGAACCCTCTCTTCGACGAGATCGTCGAGCTAACTTCCCGTCGCATCCAGGGCGACGCGTACAACCACAACCGTTCGATGAATCTCTGGAAGATGGGAGGGTTTCTGACGAACAGTTACAGTCCCAAGAAGTTTAGGTCGAGGCATAAGAAGCTTTGCTTTGGGCCGACGACGATGCCTGATTGTGTGGTGGTGTTTGATACGGAGAGGAAGAGCTCGGTGGTGTTGGAGGCGGCGAAGTTGCAGATTCCGGTTGTGGCGATTGTGGATCCGAATGTGCCGTTGGAGTTTTTCGAGAAGATTACGTATCCTGTGCCGGCGCGTGATTCGGTTAAGTTTGTGTATTTGTTTTGTAATGTGATTACGAAGTGTTTTGTGGCGGAGCAGATGAAGATGGGGATTAAAGATGGGAGTGTGGATGATGTGGTTAAGGATTTGGCTGTGTGATTTGGTTTATGAGTGATAAAGTTTGGAACTTTACTTTTCATAGTTTGGTTTAATAATTGTTCTTCAGAATTTGAAGTTCTGAGTGTTGTTTTCAACGCATTTGGATTGTTTTGATCGCAAGATTGTTCATTTCTTGGAATGCTATATTGATTATTTGTAAGAGACATGTTAGGATTGATCTCGGAATTTTGTAGCTAAGTATATGTCTTGGATAGTCCCTCTGCAACTCCTTGTTTGCAATGTTAGAGAGGACTCAGATCAGTGACGTGGATGTGACAAGTCTCAAGTGGTTACTGACGTTAATGAAGGGAAGTTGTTAGTTGAGTAACAGAATTGTAAAGAGGGTGAGAGTATAAATAGAGGACAGGTTTGTACAGAGAAGCTTATGCATCTTGTGTAATGTGTGTGAGGATAGTCTTATGACTATAGGAGAGATAGGGACTCTTGATAAATCCTAGTTCGTGAGTGTAATCAGTGTTCTTTTGCAATGTAGTAGCTTGTTCTTATTAGACTCATCATGTAGACACTCTTTTACCATGTATGGTCCATGATTCCTTGATATATTGTCAAACAGTGAGCTTGAATTGTACATGAGATATGGTTGTAAAAGATGTCTAGCAAGTAGCAACCGTAGATTTGCCAACACCACCCATTATTGATAGTTAGACAGTGTACCTGGAGTTGGTTATTGCTTAGGATAAAACTCATTATGTAGACACTGTTTTACCACATGGTCCATACTCCTTGATATTGTTTATGAAGTAGTGAGCTTGAATTGTTCATGAGAGATGGTTGTAAATATATATAGCAACCGTAGATTTTTCCTACACCACCCATTACCTTTTCATGACCACATTGACATCAGAGAGTCTCTGAACTCGTGGTTAAAGAAGAGATGACTCGAGAGTCGGAATAGATTTGAAAGTTTAAATCTTTGGTATCAAAGAGGCCAAGTGTCACACTTTAGAAAGCGACACGTGGGAGAGAGAGTCAAAGGTCAAACCTTTTTTACTTTCTTAAATAAATTGTCCGAAACCACGAACACACCTCTGTCACTAATACGGAGAAAGCGAGAGAAACCCTAAGTAACTAGCGAGAGATGTCTTCTTCAGTTGCAGCTAGGGTTTTCAGGGGATGCAAATCGCTTCTAGCTCCTGCTTCTCAAGCCACCACCTCTTTCGAGCTTTCTACTTCGAGGAGTTTAAGCACTGTCACCTCTGGAGGCACCAAGAAGTCGTCGGCGGCGAAATCGAAGTCCAAACCTAAGCCAAAGTTGAAACCAGACTCTCCGGTGAAAAAGACGCCGAGGACTACAGGAATCTTCAAGGCGAGCCCCGTGTCTCCAGCTCTAGCTCAGTTCCTTGGTACCGGTGAAACTACACGTACGGTCGCAGTCAAAGAGATTTGGACCTATGTCAAGTCCCACGACCTTCAGGTTTACTCTTCTCTCTTTTGCTCTGCCTTTTAGGTGTGTAAAGTTTGGATCTTGAGGAGATTTAAAGGAAAAAAAATAGGGTTTCTGTGGTATATTTTTGACTTTATTTTTTATGGTCTTTGGAGTCATATCAACTTACTCAGTTGCTTGATGAAGTTCGTAGAGAAGTTTAGTTTGGTAGTGATCACAGACAAGATTTACTTGTTTTTTTCAGATTTGAGAACCTCTGTTTAATCTTTGGTTGCGACCTAGTAAAAAAAGTAGTATACTTCTTGAGTCTCTTGTCTACTAATGTCGGAGAAGTTAGTTTGCTTAGAGTTTTTACATTTCTATGTGTCTTTTGCTACAATTGCTCTGTTGTATCCTGTCTGAATGATGATATGGTTTCAGTCTTTTGGCTTATGAACCTAGAAAAGTAACAAGGAATACAATCTTCAGGGGGAAATATGAATGGATTCGACACATTCTATCAAGTTTAAGTGTAATCGGATTGATGCATTCTGTCATGTTAATGTGTTGGGAGTATATCAACTGGTTGATGAAGTTGGTAGAGAAGCTTTGATATGTTGATTCACCAGTTAATCTCAGTATCGGTTTCTTAACTTTGTGGTGAATGTTGTTATGCATCAGAATCCTGCAGACAAGAGGGAGATCTTCTGCGATGAGAAGCTGAAACAAATCTTTGAAGGGAAAGACAAAGTCGGGTTTCTGGAGGTCACAAAGCTCTTGTCCACTCACTTCGTGAAGACTCCTTGACAAATAATTAGCTCAACATGGAAAGCTCTTGTTCTCGTTATTAACGTTGTCAATAATCTATTAACTCTCTTTTGTTAGAAAAAAAAGACTGCAAACATGGTTTGACTTGTGAACAATTGTGTTTTTGCTTCAAGTTTGCAAACTATTAATCAAGTAATCACTTACTTTTACTTAACACTCACTCACTATTCTATTACAATTATAAAAATTACTTTTAGGCGTAAACTCTCTTCTGTTGTAAAATAAAAATTTGAATTTTAACGGAAACTATATAACAAAACAAGAATACATTGCAACATAAAGCTCAATGGTAATAGTATCATCAGCTTTCATCTCCAAAGCTCTTTCATCACCAAACCTCAAAGACCTTCGCCAAATCCACGCCCTCGTCATCACTCTAAACCTCGAACACTCCGACTTCTTCTCCGGCAAACTCATCGACAAATACTCCAACCTCAAAGATCCCCACTCCTCCCTCTCCGTCTTCAAAAGAGCCTCCTCTCCTCCCAAAAATGTCTACCTCTGGAACTCAATCATCAGAGCGCTTTCTCACAACGGTCTATCCACCAAAGCTCTCGACTTTTACAAGAAGCTTCGTGAACACAACGTTTCCCCTGATAAGTACACGTTTCCTCCCGTCGTGAAGGCATGCGCGGGGCTGTTGGATAAGGAGATGGGAGATTGGGTTTATGGAGAGATAGTTGAGTTGGGTTTTGGGTCGGATTTGTATGTGGGGAATGCGGTTGTTGATATGTACTCGAGGATGGGGTTGTTGGGTAGAGCACGGGAAGTGTTCGACGAAATGCCTGTGAGAGATATTGTTTCGTGGAATAGTTTGATTTCTGGGTGTAGCTATCATGGTTGTTACGAGGAAGCTGTGGGGGTTTATCGTGAGTTGAGAAGTTCTTGGGTTGTGCCGGATTCTTTTACGGTGACTAGTGTTTTGTCTGCGTTTGGGAATCTGGAGGGTGTTAAAGAAGGAGAGGGAGTTCATGGGTTTGTTGTGAAGTTAGGTGTTGGTTCTGTTGTGGTGGTTAACAATGGATTACTTTCAATGTATTTGAAATTGAGAAGACTAAGGGATGCGAGACGAGTTTTTGATGAGATGGTTGTGCGAGATTCCGTTACTTACAATACTATGATCTGTGGGTACTTCAACTTAGAGATGTATGAAGAATCTGTGAAGATGTTTTTGGAGAATTTTGATCAGTTCAAGGCGGATATCTTGACTGTTAGTTCTATTCTCCGTGCTTGTGGACACTTACGAGACTTGCGGTTAGCTAAGTATGTTCATGAATACATGATGAGAGGTGGATTTGTGGTTGGAACTACTGTGGGTAACATTTTAATCGATGTGTATGCAAAGTGCGGTGACATGATCGCGGCAAGAGATGTGTTCAAGGGGATGGAGTGTAAGGATACTGTTTCATGGAACTCGATAATCAATGGGTATATACAAAGTGGAGATGTTTTGGAAGCTATGCAACTCTTTAAGATGATGATGATCATGGACGAGCGAGCGGATCATATTACTTACTTGATGCTTGTATCTGTCTCCACTCGTTTAACAGACTTGAAACTTGGGAGAGGGCTACACTGTAACGTGACAAAATCTGGATTTTGTTCTGATGTTTCTGTTAGTAACGCTCTGATTGATATGTCTGCTAAGTGTGGGGAAGAAGGAGATTCTCTGCAGATATTCAATAGCATGGAAAGTAAAGATACAGTAACGTGGAACATGGTTATTTCAGCGTGTGTTCGTTCTGGAGATTTCGCAACTGGTTTACAGGTAACTACACAGATGAGGAACAGCGGAGTGGTTCCTGATATGGCTACTTTCTTAGTTATATTGCCAATGTGTGCTTCACTTGCTGCTAAACGACTAGGCAAGGAGATCCATTGTTGTCTTCTAAGGTTTGGGTATGAATCAGAGTTGCGTATAGGGAATGCACTGATTGAAATGTACTCAAAATGTGGTTGTTTAAAGAGTTCCTTAAAAGTCTTTGAACATATGAGTAGAAGAGATGTTGTGACATGGACAGGCATGATCTACGCATACGGAATGTACGGTGAAGGCGAGAAAGCTCTTGCAGCTTTCGCCGATATGGAAAAAAATGGTGTAGTTCCGGATAATGTTGTCTTCATTGCCATCATCTATGCTTGCAGCCACTCTGGTTTGGTAGAAGAAGGCTTGGCTTGCTTTGAGAAAATGAAAACTCAGTACATGATCGAACCCACGATGGAACACTATGCTTGTGTGGTGGATTTGTTGTCCAGGTCTCAGAAGATTTCGAAAGCCGAGGAGTTTATTCAAACAATGCCTATAAAACCTGATGCTAGCATATGGGCATCTCTGCTAAGAGCTTGTAGAACAAGTGGGGACATGGAGATTGCTGAAAGAGTGTCTAAGAAGATCATTGAACTGAACCCGGATGATCCAGGCTACTCTATTCTAGCATCAAACACGTATGCAGCGTTGAGAAAATGGGACAAAGTGAGCCTAATCCGCAAATCCTTGAAAGATAAACAAATAAAGAAGAATCCTGGATTTAGTTGGATTGAAGTCAGTAACAGAGTTCATGTGTTCCGTGCAGGAGATGTTTCAGCTCCTCAGTCTGAAGCCATACACAAGTCACTTGAGATACTTTACAGTCTGATGGCTAAAGAAGGGTACATTCCGGATTCACGGGAAGTGTCTCAGAATCTGGAGGAAGAAGAAGAGAAGAGACGTTTAGTATGTGGTCACAGTGAGAGGCTAGCCATTGCGTTTGGACTGTTGAACACGGAACCAGGGACTCCATTGCAAGTGATGAAGAACCTTCGTGTCTGTGGGGATTGTCATGAAGTCACGAAGCTGATATCGAGGATTGTAGGACGTGAGATATTAGTGAGGGATGCTAATCGGTTCCATCTCTTCAAAGACGGAACTTGTAGCTGCAAAGATCGGTGGTGAATAGTTCCTGTTACAGATGGAGAGTTTCCTAACAAGGATAACATAAGCAACAGTGTTTTCAAAAAAAGATCATCAGAGTCGATCAATCATATGTTTTGCACCAAAAACTTTGTTCATTTGACACTGCAAAGTTTACTAGAAATCTTTGCGTACTGACTAATTAGCAAACTTCGTTTTTTGGGTTATCTTATAGAAGTAGTTTCTCAGTTGATCATTTGAGCACAAGGGAGGACACAATATTTATTTGTGGCATTGTATTTTCGGATAAATGTTATTTTAATAAATTTTAACCTCTTTAGTATTGTTTAAAATATCTAACCACACTAAACATTTATACTAAGGTAGTCTAAATTTATTTTCGTGGTATATGGGCATCAGTTATAATTTTCCAGTGAATAATTTAATAAATCTTAATATATCACATAAATAAAAGACCTAAACCCTATGAAATCTTTATATTCTAGAGAAATTAGGATAACTAAGGTACAAAACCCCTTTAATATGCATCCTACATCAGTGTTGGATGCATATATGAAAAATTAAAAAAAATTCCATATTTTCTAATTTAGTTTTGAAATTCGGGGGTTAATCCCTACGAAAAAATCGAATTTTCCGATAAATGTTATTTGTATTAAAAATTAACCTCTTTATTGTTGCTTAAAATATCTAACCACTTTACGAATTAATACTAATGTATACTAAATTTATTTCTGTGGTACATTGGCATCAGTTATAATTTTCCAGTGAGTAATTTAATAAAACATCATATATCACATAAATAAAAGACCTAAACGTAGGAAATCTTTATATTCTAGAGAAATTAGGATAATTAAGGTGAAAAAACCATTTAATTTTCATCCTACATCAGTGTTAAAAAAATTTCATATTTTCTAATTTATTTTTGAAATCCGTGGGTTCATCCCTACGAAAAAATCAAATTTTGCGATAAATGTTATTTTAATAAAGTTTAACCTCTTTAGTGTTGCTTAAAATATCTAACCACATTAAACATTTATACTATGGTAGCATAAATTTATTTTCGTGGTATATGGACATCAGTTATAATTTTCCAGTGAGTAAATTAATAAAACTTCATATATCACATAAATAAAAGACCTAAACCCTATGAAATCTCTATATTCTAGAGAAATTAGGATAATTAAGGTACAAAACCCCTTTAGAATTTATCCTACATCAGTGTTGGATGCATATATGAAAGAGAAAAAAATTCCATATTTTCTGTTTTTTTTTTGAAATCTGTAGGTTAACCCCTACGAAAAATTCGAATTTTCCGATAAATGTTATTGGTAATAAACTTTAACGTATTTAGTGTTGCTTAAAATATCTAACCACATTAAAAATTTATATTAATTTATCTTAAATCTATTTTCGTGGTACCTGGGCATCAGTTATAATTTTCCAATAAGTAATTTAATAAAACTTCATATACCACATAAATAAAAGACCTACACCCTATGAAATCTCTATATTCTAGATACATTAGGATAACTAAGGTACAAAACCCCTTTAATATTCATCTTACATCAGTGTTGGATGCATATATGAAAAATAAAAAAATACCATGTTTTCTATTTTTTTTTTTTGAAATCTGTGGTTTAACCTCTACGAAAAAATCGAATTTTCCGATAAATGATATTTTTAATAAACTTTAACGTATTTAGTTTTGCTTAAAATATCTAACCACATTAAACATTTATACTAATGTATCCCAAATTTATTTTCGTGGTCATCAGTTATAATTTTCCAATGAGTAATTTAATAAAAATTCATATACCACATAAATAAAAGACCTAAACCCTCTGAAATCTCCATATTCTAAAGAAATTATGATAACTAAGGTACAAAACCCCTTTAATATTCATACTACATCAGTGTTGGATGCGTATATGAAAAATAAAAAATAAAAAATTTTCTAATTTTTTTGAAAACTGTGGGTTAACCTCTACGAAAAATCGAATTTTACGATAAATGTTATTTTAATAAATTTTAACCTCTTTAGTGTTGCTTAAAATATCTAACCACATTAAACATTTATTCTAAGGTAGCCTAAATTTATTTTCGTGGTACATGGGCATCAGTTACAATTTTCCAATGTGTAATTTAATAAAAATTCATATATCACATAAATAAAAGACCTAAACCCTATGAAATCTCTATATTCTAGAGAAATTAGGATAAATAAGGTAAAAAACCCCTTTAGTATTTATCCTACATCAGTGTTGGATGCATATATGAAAAATAAAAAAAATCCATATTTTCTAATTTTTTTTTAAAAAAAATCTGTGGGTTAATAACCCCCTACGAAAAAATTGAATTTTCCGATAAATGTTATTTTAATAAATTTTGACCTCTTTAGTGTTGCTTAAAATATCTAACCACATTAAAAATTTATACTAAGGTAGCCCAAATTTATTATCGTGGTACATGGACATCAGTTATAATTTTCCAACGAAAAATTTAATAAAACTTCATATATCACATAAATAAAAGACCTAAACCCTATGAAATCTCTATATTCTAGAGAAATTAGGATAATTAAGGTACAAAACCCCTTTAATATTTATCCTACATAAGTGTTGGATGCATATATGAAAAATAAAAAAATTCCATATTTTCTATTTTTTTTTTGAAATCTGTAGGTTAACCCCTACGAAAAATTTGAATTTTCCGATAAATGTTATTGGTAATAAACTTTGACGTATTAAGTGTTGCTTAAAATATCTAACCACATTAAAAATTTATATTAATTTATCCTAAATCTATTTTCGTGGTACCTTGGCATCAGTTATCGTTTTCCAATGAGTAATTTAATAAAACTTCATATACCACATAAATAAAAGACCTACACCCTTTGAAATCTCTATATTCTAGATACATTAGGATAACTAAGGTAAAAAACCTCTTTAATATTCTTCCTACATCAGTGTTGGATGCATATATGAAAAATAAAAAAAATTCCATATTTTCTATTTTTTTTTTTGAAATCTGTGGGTTAACCCCTACGAAAAAATCGAATTTTACAATAAATGTATTTGTAATAAAAGTTAACCTCTTTAGTGTTGCTTAAAATATCTAACCACATTAATAATTTATAGTAATATATCCCAAATTTTATTTGTGGTCATCAGTTATAATTTTCCAATGAGTAATTTAATAAAACAATACCAAATAAATAAAAGACCTAAACCCTCTGAAATCTCTATATTCTAGAGAAATTAAGATAACTAAGGTACAAAACCCCTTTAATATTCATCCTACATCAGTGTTGGATGCATATATGAAAAATAAAAAAATTTCAAATTTTCTAATTTTTTATTGAAAACTGTGGGTTAACCCCTATGAAAAAATCGAATTTTCCTATAAATGTTATTTTAATACATTTTAACCTCTTTAGTGTTTCTTAAAATATCTAACAACATTAAACATTTATACTAAGGTAACCAAAATTTATTTTCGTGGTATATGGGCATCAGTTATAATTTTCCACTGAGAAATTCAATAAAATTTCATATATCACATAAATAAAAGACCTAAACCCTATGAAATATCTATATTCTAGAGAAATTAGGATAACTAAGGTACAAAACCCCTTTAGTATTTATCCTACATTAGTATTGGATGCATATACGAAAAATAAAAAAATTCCATATTTTCTATTTTTTTTTTTAAAATCTGTGGGTTAACACTTACGAAAAATTGAATTTTCCGATAAATGTTATTTTAATAAATTTTAACCTCTTTAGTGTTGCTTAAAATATCTAACCATATTAAACATTTATAATAAGGTAGCCCAAATTTATTTTCGTGGTACATGGGCATCAGTTATAATTTTCCAGTGAATAATTTAATAAAACTTCATCTATCACATAAATAAAAGACCTAAACCCTATGAAATCTCTATATTCTAGAGAAATTAGGATAAATAAGGTACAAAACCCCTTTAATATTCATCCTACATCAGTGCTGGATGCATATATGAAAAATTAAAAAATTCCATATTTTCTAATTTTTTTTTGAAATATGTGGGTTAGTCCCTACGAAAAAATCGAATTTTCCGATAAATGTTATTTTAATAAATTTTAACCTCTTTAGTGTTGCTTAAAATATCTAAAAACATTAAACATTTATACTAAGGTAGTCTAAATTTATTTTCGTGGTATATGGGCATCAGTTAGAATTTTCCAGTGAGTAATTTAATAAAACTTCATATATAACATAATTAAAAGACCTAAACCCTATGAAATCTCTATATTCTAGAGAAATTAGGAGAACTAAAGTAAAAAACCTCTTTAATATGCTTCCTACATCAGTGTTGGATGCATATATGAAAAATAAAAAAAATCTATATTTGCTATTTTTTTTTTGAAATCTGTGGGTTAGCCCCTACGAAAAACTCGAATTTTACAATAAATGTATTTGTAATAAAAGCTAACCTCTTTAGTGTTGCTTAAAATATCTAACCACATTTAACATTTATAGTAATATATCCCAAATTTTTTTTGTGGTCATCAGTTATAATTTTCCAATGAGTAATTTAATAAAACAATACCACATAAATAAAAGACCTAAACCCTCTGAAATCTCTATATTCTAGAGAAATTAGGATAACTAAGGTACAAAACCCCTTTAATATTCATCCTACATCAGTGTTGGATTCGTATATGAAAAATAAAAAAATTTCAAATTTTCTAATTTTTTTTTTGAAAACTGTGGGTTAACCCCTACGAAAAAATCGAATTTTCTTATAAATGTTATTTTAATACATTTTAACCTCTTTAGTGTTGCTTAAAATATCTAACCACATTAAACATTTATACTAAGGTAACCAAAATTTATTTTCGTGGTATATGGGCATCAGTCATAATTTTCCACTGAAAAATTCAATAAAACTTCATATATCACATAAATAAAAGACCTAAACCCTATGAAATATCTATATTCTAGAGAAATTAGGATAACTAAGGTACAAAACCCTTTAGTATTTATCCTACATCAATATTGGATGCATATATGAAGAATAAAAAAATTCCATATTTTCTATTTTTTTTTTGAAATCTGTGGGTTAACCCCTCTGAAAAATCGAATTTTCCGATAAATGTTATTTTAATAAATTTTAACCTCTTTAGTGTTGCTTAAAATATCTAACCACATTAAAAATTTATACTACAGTAGCCTAAATTTATTTTCGTGGTACATGGGCATCAG